TGGCTGCCTCTGGCGTGCCCGGCCTGGCGCTGCACAGGCTGTCCTCGCTGCTGCAGCTGCGGCTCTCCGAGTGCGAGACGCGCGGCGAACGAGCTGAGGCAGAGCCGGAGGAGGGGGAGGCGGTGCAGGCTTTTTAACAAATGGTTTTGGCAAAATTGAAAAATTATTTAAAGAAAATTCAAGCAAAACCCACATCTCACATCATACACAAAAATCAAGTCGAAGTAGATCAAGGACCTAGAACTAAAACCAAGGACTATAAATTTCATCATAGAAAAGCTTGGAAGAACCCCAAAAGCCTTAATCCACAACACAAACAGTCTTCCAAGCATCCTGAAAAGCCTACAACCAAGAGAGGATAAAATAGATGAATGGGACCTTCTAAAAATCAAATCCCTATGCACATCAAAAAACTCCTCAAACAGTAAAATGGAATGCCACAGACTGGGAAAGAATATCTGGTAATGACACGTCTGACAATGCGCTTATATCTAGAATTTATAAAACATTTGAGCACCACAAGAAGATAAAGTCAGACAACCCAATTGGAAGATGGGCACAGGGTATGATCTGACACTTCACCAAGGAAAACATTCAGACGGTGAACAAGCACATGAAGAAATCTTCAAAATATCTAGCTGTAAGAGAGAAGCAAATAAAACCAAATGTGAAATGTCACCTCACTCGAGAAACAATAACAAAGTTCAACAGAGCAGCAAACAACAAATGTTGGGGAGGGTGTGGAGAAACTGGAACCCTTATTCGCTGTTGGTGGGAGTGTAAAATGGTGCAACCACTATGGAAGACAGTATGGTGCTTTCTCAGAAAGTTGCAAATTGAAATACCATTTGACCCTGCAATTCCAGTACTGGGAATATATACTAAAGAAATCAAAACTTCCACCAAACCAGATATATGCACACCCATATTTACTGCTGTGTTGGTCACAACAGCAAAGAGCTGGAAACAACCCAAGTGTCCATCAACAAAGGAATGGCTAGAAAAGTTGTGGCATATTCACAAAATGGAATATAATGTTGCATGACCCTGGAGGACATTAACCTGAATGAAATATTTCAGTCACAAAAGGACAAATACTTCACAATGCCACTGTTATAAAACAGGACTGAGAAAAACTGGATGAAATATGTTTACGGCATTGAAGTCTATGGGGGAGAAAATAGTCTAAAAGTATT